ATAGAGTAGTAGTTAAAGAAACACCAGTCAGTATCACTTAGACTTGCAAAAGCCCTTTGCCAAGGTCCCTCACAAGAAGCTACTAAAAGAACTAAGTTGTCACTGGATGAGAAACCCCATCATGGATCCAAATCAGAGCTACGAAATAGGAAGCAAAGGGTTCAATAGTCAATTTTATTTATTTTTTTAAAATCTTTGAAAAACGGAAACACTGGGGTGCTTCAAGCTCCCAGACTAAGTCTAATGGGACTTAACATACTAGTGAACTGGCATGGAAACTGAATAGAAAATAATCTCATGGCCTCTTTATAGGTTAAGTTAAAGACAACAAGAACATTGTGAGAAGCTTTAAGCACCCGGACAGGTTGAATGAATGGGCTACACAATGACAAATTGCTTTTGTCGACCTGGAATGCTAAGTAAAGCATTGCAGAAGGAAAAAACATTTTACACCACAGGGTTATAAACTGTATCATCAAGAAACCAGCTTGTCCACAATGTAGACAGCTTAATAAAAACCCTTGTTCCATGTGCAAATGTATTTATAAAAAGGATGCAAGCCTGGCTTTCATGCAGTAAGCAACACCACCACCGTGTTTATACTCATACAATCACACGAAACCACCCTAACCTGCCACCAATGAAGGAGAGGGATGAGGGCATTGTCAAAGCCGTGCCAGTCTTGACTATGGGGCAGAAATTCTTTCCAGACCCCAAATATGAGAATTAGTCTGACCCTGCATGGAGGCGCAAGGCCCTCTAACCAGAAATCTCTGGGTTTTTGTTCCAGTAGAACCACTGGTACTTCACAGTCGAAATGCCCAGCTTTGGCTGCAGGCAAGACTGACTGTCCCTTAGGAGGATCACTGGGAGGCGAGGGAAGGGGAGACGGGGAACAACACCCCCCCCCCCAAAAAAACCCAACAAAAAACAACACAACAAACAAAGATACCCTGATGCCTGGAGTTCAGGGGTTGGCAACGTTTTTGAGCAGAGTATCAAAAACAACCACAACTTGTGAGATGTTGGCGCCAGGGCTGGATGGAGGGGAGCGAAGAGGGGCCCCATCCTTGTTGCCGTTTAGCCAGGCCCCTTCCCTGCCATCCACCCAGCAGCATGTGCACCAAGCAAAATGCCTTTGGGCGCCACACTCTGGCACCCGTGCCAGGGGTTGCCTACCCCTGCAGCTCTTTCCCAGCCCTGTAAGGCAATGAGCAGAGCTCAGGTGCATGGAGAAAAGGCCAAAGCTCTGGGGACAGCAAACAACTTCCCACATCGTGCCCCATAACTGGAAAGCCAAAATTCAGCTTTCTGTAATGCTATCCCCTCTGGAAGCCCCAGTCTTTCATCTTGCTCTTCCCTATTGTGGGAGAGATTCCACAACTTTCCTAAGCTGCCTCTCCTACTACCTAACTGAAGACGTTTTTCCTGATGTCCAATCTAAAACCTAC